TTAGACACCTGAAATTGTGGGAGACAGAGGTGGATCCCTGGCTGGGCTAGGGGGTCTGACCACAGCGGTAGCTCAGTGTAGCTCCGGGGCAGGCACGTGGCCTAACAGGTCCTTTGCCCAAAGTCCCCTTGTCCTGCAGTGCCCACGGGCCCTTGGGCTTCAACCATTTCTTGGGCACCGGCAAAGGGGAATGGTGCTGGGTGGGTTCCGTAGCCAGCAGTGCGCTGCACACTGATGCCGAAGTACTAGGCATGGAGTTTGACCGGAGGGCTCTGAGGCAGGACGAAGCATAGCCTCCGTGAGGAGGGCCCTCAAGCGGATATCCCGCTCTGTCTGGGTTCTAGGGCAAAAGTTCTTGCAGATCCTGCACTTGTCTTTTCTGTGTGATTTCCCCAGACACTTGAAACAGCTGTTATGGGGGTCACGATGGGCATCACTGGGTACATGATGAACATGGCTTAAAGCATGGGGCATGCCCCACTTCTCAGCAAACTCCCAGCTGGGACTCTTAACTACTAAAACTATCTGACACTTAGTTTGACCATTAAGTACCTAAAAGCTAACTACAAAAGGAGACAGAACAATGGGCTGAAAGAATCGCTAACGTTCTTGCAATGCAAGACAAGGCATTCCAACTAACCATCACGGATGGTAAGAAAGAACTAAGAGGGTGTACAGCCGGCGGTGCCTGATATACTGATGCATGAGCATGGCCCTCAAGGGGGCGCTGCAGCCGACCCTACAGATACTGTTACGGCAAAAGTCTCCGATGGCTGTGCACATGGGCATGCACACACCTAGAATGGAATTGACGTGAGCAAGCACTTGAAGAAGAACCACTGATTCCAGTGGACTATGTGTATAAGGTTTACTCATCTGATTGAAGCAACAGAGAGTCTTAAAGGTGCCCCAGGACTCTGTTGCTTCAATCAGATCCAGACTAACACAGCTACCCCTCTGATATTTGTCATCTGATTGAGAGTTTTCTAAGGGGAGTGCTCCTGCACCTGTAGTGAATGGGAGCAGGATTGGGCCCTAGACCCTTATCAAGGTTTAATTTGTAAATCTCAGCCACGCAGAAAAATGCACACCAAAAAACTGCTCTCTGTTTGGAAGTAACTTTATTAACAATAAGCACAAGACATGTATGATCACTATTACACTAGGATAATTCTATCCAAAGAAATGAAAGATTGATAAAAAAGTGTGTTATTCAAACATCAGATTAAGTACATTGTTTTCAGGCAGCCCCAGTCACCCTTGACAGGACAAAGGATTTGGAAAAGCTACTTAACTGTGTAGCAAGCATAATGTTTTTCTCAATGTGATAGCAAGGCCTAGTTTGCCAGTTGGAGGACTTAACGTGGTTTTGAACTCCCAGGCTCATGAAGGCTAGAGTACAAGTGGCACTATCCATGCACTAATTTGCATTGGCAAGTTTTTGGAATGCCAAGGACATCTGCCTGAGAATGACACTGAGGGTACGTCTACACTGCAAAGAAACCCCTGCAGCAGTGTGTCTCGAGCCTGGGTCAACTTACTTGGGCACACAGGGCTTGTGCTACGGGGCTAAACATAGCAGAGTAGATGTTCCATTTGGCTTAGAGCCCAGACTCTGAAAGCCAGCTAGGAGGGTGGGTCCCAGGCTCAAGCACAAGCGGGAACGTCAACACTGCTATTTTTAGCCCCATGAGCACAAGCTCTGAGACTTGCTGCTTTAGGTTTATTGTTGAAGTGCAGACGTACCCTAAATCCCTTTTTTCTGGACGATGAAGAAGTTTTGCTCAGGCTGTGATAGTGGGAGGAAGAAAGGGCAGAAATCAACCAGAGAGAGAACTTGTGTATTTTACTCTTGTTTATTTAGGCTTGGCAGAATTCGTTGTTTTAGAAATAATTTTGACAGATGTTTAATTTTAAGCATTTTTTTCAATTTTTATTTATTTAAACTTTCACAATTGCACAAAATTATGGGTTTTAAGCATTTTTAAATTTCTATCAATTTAAATTTTCACAGTTGCAGGAAATTACGGGGGGGGGGGGGTGACAGACAATTATTTAATGATAGCAGACGTTGAGATCCAAAAAAGTAAAGCTTTCTAACCACTAGAACACACATTTTCAACATCACATATGAAAATATACAAAGTAAATATACTCTCATAGGTTCACAAACTGCATTTTTCTTACTTCACCTATCTGTAAATTTTTATTATTATAGATGGATATTTTCCCCACTGGTTTGTGTGTGTGCTGTGAAATTGATGTTTACTGACATTCACCAATAAAAATCTAGTCCTTCCAAGCCTTTGTATATTTATATATTCCATTTGGTACTGGTTTTACCCTCAACTAGCGTGTGATAACTAACACATACCAATAAACAGCAGAGAACCCCTCAAATCCATAGTTTTGCCCCTCACATGCATACATCTTTGGAGGATTAGAGCCTTCATTACTATACACACTTTATAATCCACACAGAAAGGGGTTAATCTCCCCATTTATCAGCAAAATTTAAATAGAGGCAGTGCTGTAATGAGATTTTGAATTACTAACAATGAGTTATCTTTACAAAATATGCTGTGATAAATTTATTTGTATTTTAGAAAGAATTATAATTAAAACAGAACTAAAATTGCCAAAATAAATGAAGAAAATGTAGTGATGATTTATCCCTGCTCTTTGTTAAATTTGTTCCCGTGCTCACTAATCTGTAGTGTCTCGCAGGCATGAGTGTGAATTAATGAGACTGTAATATTTTAGCACATTGTAATATCAGAAACATTTTGATTCAGATGACATGATAATGTATTTGAAAGTGCAAGGGGTTAGGATTAACCAAACTTCCATGGATTTCAATTTATGATGAATTATGTATTTGAAATCAACTCGGTCTAGTTTTCCTGCGCTATTATTGTACATGACCATTTTAGGACTAACTCAGAATACAAAATAGCAGTATACATATGTAACAAACAAAAAAAACACCTAAGACTGCACATCAGAAAAAAGTTCACAATTAGTTGGAAGTATTCACGCTGGCAATGAGGGAAGTGCAACTGACTTCAAGGGACACAGTGTGTAATTTAAAACAGAATTAAACAAACCAACCCCAAAATGGTTATTAATCAAGATGGTAACCCCATGCTCTGGCTGTCCCTAAGCCTCTGACTGCCAGAAGCTGGGACTGGATGACCGGGGATTGCGCAATAATTGCCCTGTTCTGTTCATTCCCTCGAAGCATCTGGCATCGACCACTGTTGGAAGACAGGATACTGGGTTAGATGGACCATTGGTCTGATCCATTATGGCCAGTCTTATGTTCTAACCCAGGGAATCAATTTAAGGAGGAAGTATTTGATCTAATTTGCACAGGCAGTTGATTTTAAAATAAAAGCTATAAGTTGTCTTGTGCAGGTGCTCTGGGGCAAAGTGGGTGTTTGACAGGAGTATTAGCGGACCCCTGCTAAACAAAGGGTTAACTACCCCTCAGCCTATCTTCTTGCAGAGGTGCTCAAAGGAAGGGGCTCTGAGAATGGTTGTTCTGGGAGGAGAATGCCATTAAGAAGGTAGCGCTCTGCACAAGGAGCCATGGCATTATGCTGCAGCCCCCAAGCTGGGGAGGTATTTTGTTCACATGAACTTATTTTGATTTCTTGTTATAAAGGTTATGCCTTAAGAAACAGGCCTTGCTGACTGTGACTTGGTTTTTTTTCCTGTCGAGTCATTCCAGCAGCTTACTGGGTGAAAGAGGGTACAGGGATTCTCTCCTCTATCCAGGAGCCAGGCAGAACACAACTCCCTAATAGTGTGGGGGCAGCTAGCCGGCCATAGCCCTTGTTGTGCTGTGCCCAGCTAGACTGGGCCTATGGTTAGGCCCTTTTGCCCCATGCACAGACTCAGATGGAAGGATAGGGAGGCATGCATAGCTGCACATTTCTGCAGCACATAGAAGAACGCTGTCCAGCATGCTCCCTCCCATCACACCTTTCCTTGGTGCAATGGGGCATTCTGCTCATGAGCTACATCTCCACTCTCCCTGGTCCCGCAGTGAAGCAGAATTTAGTCCTAAGAACTTTAGAAAGCTGCAGCCCTACATGGGCCCTTCTCAGCTCTTTCACTAAAGCTCCCAATTGCACCTGCAGACTGTTCTGACTAGCTGCCTGTCCCAACTCAAAAGCAGGAGACGCCCAGGATAAAACCAGCTTCCCAGGTAACGGCACAATCTGTATTATGGGCAACATGCCTCAGCTTTGAAAATGACACTTTAATGAGTGTTCTATTCTGAGTTTACTCCATTGCACCCCAATCTTTATTTACCGCATCTGCTTCTAGTTTTCTTGGAATCAGTAATGAGAGAGAGAGAGAGATTAATAGGAAGAAGGATTAAATGCTTGTCTATGGTTTTGACTTCCAGCACAAAATGCCCTGCACTGCTAGGGATGATATCACACATTACATTTCAAATGGTCTATAGATCTCCCCCCAGCTTTATCAGAGAGAATTTAAGTATTGTTAAAGTTGAATACAAAAGAGAAAAAGTCCCTAATGAGCCAAGAACACTGGCTTTCCCCTTGAGATCCATTCCAAGAACAAATAAATTAAGCCACGCTTCTTTATTAATGATTCTATTCAACCAAAAGAAACAGATGCAGTTTCTCCCATAGTAGTCACTATAAATCTAAGGAACTCTACATCTCTCTAAGCAGCAAGTGGTGAGTGATGCTTCCTGAGTCTCATAGCTTTGCAAGCAGATAATAAATGCTGTCAGCCATGAAAGACCAGGGTCAGATCAGACAAAGCTAGACACAGATGCCTTTCCCTCCACCCTTAAGTTGAGGGGGCCCCACTGATGTTCATGCTTCAGTACCATAAGGTATGGAGTACAAGTTGCCTCTCCTTAGCAGAGCTCTCCTGTGACAATGTCGCAACCACCATCTTGGTCACCACCAGGGATGAACCTGCAGAGCTAATGTGTGGGACACTTCACTACAGTTTGACTTAAAGGACTATAGTCCTGACTGAACACCCATTGGACTCATCGGCAAGACATACTGACTTCTATGGGTGTTGGATTGGACTCTAGATCCCTAGCTGGCAGCTGTGTCACACTCATATCCCCTGTGGAGCAGGGACAACAGGACCTTGGGCCCTAAGGGGAATGAGGATGTCTGCCCCTTTATTGCTGCCATAACTATTGCACTGCAAGGCCTTCTGTGCTCCTGTTTAACAGGAAACCTCCTAACTCTCTCCACAAACACACACACAGACCAGGTCTGGCCACACTACATACCTGCTCATCTGATGTGGGGTAAATGGGGATTAAGGGTTGGAAAAAGAAGGGGCCAACTGATGGCTTCATGGGGGATGCAAGGTTTGCTTGAACAGGCTCTGAAAAAAGGTGATATATTAATACTGGTATTTCTGAAGTACTGGCAGCAATTAAACTATCATCAACCCACAACAATTTTCTTGCACAGATTTCTTAATAGGAAAATAAGTGGTCTGAGCACCATGATGAATGTTCTTTGTGCCACCAGCAGCTCAAATCTCATAACTCTCTCTTGATACATTGCACTTCTCGGTAGGAACCTTAAACATGGTTTGAATTGTTGATTCCCAGAAGCTTTAAAAAAAAAAAAAATTAAAAAAACCTAGTCTTTGCGAATTAGTTTTCCTCTAAGTGCCTTTTAAATCTCTCTGGCAGCCTATCAAAAGCTGGAGTATTTATGAGTTCGTTTAAAGGTTTTTAACTGCATACTAGCTGACAGATTCATGAGGACCTTTGAGCAGAAAATATCACCGTTTACAATGGGGAAACATTGCAGTGAAATACAGAATTACCTTGCAATAAGTTATGGGAAATTTATGCCCAGTTTCAGACAACATGGGCCTATCATTCAGAATAGGCTGACCACTCAGCTAAAGTCGATGAGGGCTGCACACATTGAGGCCCTTTGAAATTCAGGCCCAAGGGCCCAGATTCTCAAAGATGTTTAGGCCCTTAGCTCCCATTGAAATTAATGGCGATAAGCACCTAAGTATCCTGGAGGATCTGGTGTAAGGCAGCTGAAGTTGGGCACTGCAAATCAGTGGCTGCTTTTGTAAAATTTGGCCTGAGTGTAATTTAGAGTTTTGCCAGGTCTGCTGTGAGTGCTTTAAAATCTGATGAAATACCTTAACAAGGCAAGTGGGGTTTACACACTAGGAACTTGGTACTGCAGCCTTTACTCACGGGTGTAGTCCTACTAAAGTCAATGGGGCTATTTTTATAAGGATTACTCCCAGAGGGTGGAATGCAGGAGGGAAAAAGCCAACCTGAGGTGACTGGTGTTTTAATCACACACAAATCACATGGGTTATTACTGTGCAAATGCCATTGCTTTCCAGAGGTGAAACCCCCTACGAACCGAAAATATTTGAGAAAAGAGACCGGTGCAGCTGGTCAGGTGCTCTGCTGCACTATCAGCAGGAGACAACTGGATTCTAAAGCTGACAAAGACCAGGTGCACCTTGGAAGGGACATGTTCACTCTCTGAGCAGAAGAGGAAGGTGCTGAGAATGTCTATAATCAAGCTCAGCTGTCCATTCTATACAGGCATTAACAGGGGATTGAGGAGGAGGTTGTAACTTCTGCCCTCTGGGCTGGAGGGAGTCAATTGTCTTTCACTGAAAAGGGCAGCGCAGAAGGAAAGGACAAACCTGGGATACAGAATGGGGGAAGTAACTAGCTGCTGAAATGGAACACGTGGGCTTTCTCCATCCTCAGTTCTAAAAAGGGAGGGGGAGCCGCAGTCAGTAAAGCCCAGAAAAATTGGAGAAACTGAGCAATGAGTATTTTGAAAACCACAGTTCAAAGACCCCAGTAGGGTGACATTGCTGATGCAGAGGATGCTGTGTAGAGAAGATTAGAGAGCTGATGAAAATGTCTTTTCAAACTAATTTTCTCAACTCTGCTAAGCAGTAAATGGCATGTCTAGATTTCTCTGTACCAATATTACTTGATTTCATTGCTGTGGGAGATTATAAAGCTTCTCCTATCAGATAATGATGCTGCCGCTATCAAGTGGTGACAGAATGGGGCTCTTCACCAATACACATTTCCCATGAAAATTTGCTATCTTGCACAGAATTTAATGATCATTTATTATTCTGTGCACTAACACTGTTGGAAATGCTTGAAGCTGTATTCAAAGAAAGTAACCCTGTTGGTTTATTAAAAATTCTTATGCTACATTCATAATTATCACCTTATTATAGGTATTACACAGCTTCTAGAAGTTGTGAGAAGTATTTTTAACAGATGTCGTTTGGCTTTTATGCAAAATATACTTAAAGGTTTCAGAAATCCTTTTCTTACAATTAGACAGTGCAATGCTTAGTTCTAGATATTATGCAAGGAGAAGAGAAAAATCATTCTGTTCAATAAAAGTTTCAGGGTAACACTTCTGTTATAGTAAAAAGCAGGATCTATGAAGTTACTGGAGTTTCTGTCCCTTATAGCAACCTGGTTCCTGGCAGCTAGCTAAGCTGTCCTGCCTAGGCATAATCAAATATTCACCCACCTCTTTCACATGGTGGTGGTGATCATGAAAAAGGATTGGTGCCCTTCAGAAAAGGTGATGTGCCCTGGGTGAGTGGAGTTTTGCCAGGCTGGTTCCATGCACCAGAGTGTAGGCAACAGCATGTCCCACTTGCAGAGGGAATGTGGACTGGAAGTTTATAAAATATTTTTGCCCACTGCTTTGCTCTGGACTTTCTGTTCCCCCTGCAGCCCTGGCCATTCCCTGCAGCATAGCCAAAACCACTGTGCAAATGCCAAGGCCTATGGCTAAGATGGTAAACAGCTTGTTCCAGCAACTGTAGGGATGGGTACTGTGTCCTTTACCCCCTGAGACTGGCTGAGAGCATCATCTGCTGAACCTCTGAATAATCAGCGGCCCAGAATCAATCCCTGAAGCAAGGCACCATCAATACAGTACATGTATCCGACTCAATCCCACTCCCACCCTTGTATGTTTGCTGCTCCCAACTCTGCCATGTACCCAGTACAGAGGCTCTCCCAAAGGGAATGATAAGTTAGTTATGTAATTCCACAATTTACACTTCACTTCCCTTTTGTGACTCACAGTCCAAGTCCCTTTTAGACGTACCATGGATAGCAGCACAATAGTCTAACTACAGATGGTTCTAATTTAAAAACAAAATACATCAATACTGCTCAGAGGAGAGGATGAAGTTTACATGCCAGATAAGTATTTATTTATTTTTATCTTGCAAAAAGCAGTGGAAGTTAACTCATTTTTAAATATTATATATATATATGCATAGATTTTGGTTTTGTTTAAATGAAATTGTTCTTGTTTTTCAGTGCAACAGTACCATACACCACTGTGTCAACAGTATCTGACTACTTGGGTTAGCCCAGGATGCTCTAACAATGAAGGGCTGAACACCTCCTGTGAGTCAGCAGCTCCCACTGAAATCAACGGTAGATGTGGAAAACTAAGCTCCTCATAGGATCTAGCCCATAATGCTTTGCAATAGTGTGACAGACTGTACTTGTATGTTCACCACTTTTACAAAACTATGATAAATCTTGTACAAAATATGCCTTGTGAGATATTGTTTGAAAACTCATGACTCGCTGATCATTATCGTCCTGATAGAATATGTCTGGCAACACTGTATGTAAAGTTAGTAACATCAAACAGTGGAATCTTATATGACATATTCCAATTCTGGGGAAGCAGCCCAAACCAGTTCCTCAGAGACAAAAGGAAAATGGACGCCTCTGCCAGGTGTCAACAAAATCAATTGGACAATCACCTGAGTAAGCAGCCATTCTTTGGCAGGAAGAAGGGTGTGAGCAATAAATTTTCATCTTGGGAGACAGATTTGCTGCCACCTGAACCCCAGCTGGAGATGATTCTCTGAGAGGAGGAAAAGATATAAAAATGAGGAACAGAGGTCACAAATCACCTCTCTCCTCCCTTTCCATCTGTTCATGGCGTTAATGACACCTGAAGAAACACTGAACGGGGGGAGGAGGCTTGACTGAAGGAGTTCAGCCAGTAAATGCATGTGGTGAGAAAAACCTTTGCTTTGAATTCACTCAGCTTAATAAGTTAGGTGTTAGTTTGCATTTTACCTTTTATTTCTTTGTAACCAATTCTGACTTTTATACCTCATTACTCGTAATCACTTAAAATCTATCTTTCTGTAGTTAATACTTATAGTTAATAATAAATAATAATAGTTTTATCTAAACCAGTGTGTTTGGACTGAAGTGTTTGGGAACCTCCGTTTGAGATAACAGCACTTGTGCATATCATTTCTATTAATGAAATGACGGACTTTCTATGAACTTGTATTGTCCAGGAAGGTGCTGGACAGTACAAGCCGCACATTTCTGGGGACAAGTTTGGGACTGAGAATTTGCTGGTGTCACGCTAATATAAATCAGGAGTGACTGGCTAAAACACTCATATCTTTCAGCTGGGAGTGATTTTGCATGTTAGAGGCTGTGTTTGAACAGGCCAGGAGTGGTTGTTCTCACAGCAAAGCAGTGTAAAAGGTTGAGAAATGAGGGGACACAGCTGTTCAACAGTCCAGATTGTACCCTGCGGAATGTCACAAATAGGGAGGCAGACAGGAACTACTGTTTATTCCTTTAACTCACCAGCTGCAATTCACTCTCTGCACAAATCCTGCAGGCCACTTTGGTCCTGCTTAAATGGATTTAAGTGGTGCACAGCTTGGCGTTGGTTCTCTGCAGCCAAGGGTTCTTAATCCATATGGCGTGCTGAGTGTTCTCACCTCTCGAAGACTTGGGTGGGAAGTGAAGATGCTCACAGGAAATGTTTAGCTCTTTGCAGGGATCTGGTTTATTTCATATGAGAACAGACATGCTAACCCTGAATTCTAACCTTGTCATACTAGCATCATGTTAACTAGAAATGACAAAACATACCATGAAAAAAAATAGGGATAGTAGACTATGTATATATATTTACATCTACATATAGAAACTTCTTTTAATTGGAGATTCTATAAGCCACTGCCTGCAATAGCATCCATCCTATAGGTAATACTAGAGATGATTCTTAAGAGACTGAGGAGATGGGGTTATGAGGTGAGCCCATCTGTGTGAGCACCTTATCCAGCCATTGCAATGGTCCGTGCAGATGAATCTCAATCCAGCAAGGAGTGCTTGTAACGTCCTGGCGATGATACTCCGCTCCCCAGCCCTAAAAAAATACCAAAGGATCAAAAGGTGAGTTTCTTTTTCATTGTAATTCCACCACTAAAGGCCCGGCTTCATTGCAGCCAGTGGGAAAGTGGCCAGCGACGTCAACTAAGTTGCCAGCATTTAATACATTTTCCTAGGGACAACTTCTCCAACAAGTGGGGAGCCTTAAGGGCCAGAGCGGTGTGTGCATTTCAGTGAATTTAAGATTATTGGTGACACGATTATTTAAAAGTCCGTGGTTCAGACAGATGTTTGAATACTGAGATTTCTACAAGGCCCCATGAGCCTCTTCTAATTTACACTTAGTTTATTTATAGGCTTTTCCATCCTCCATCAACCCCCTTCCTCTTCTGGCGATTCTGACCTGCAATTGTCCCTTACGGGGAGGCTCCATAGCTTTCTCATTCTGGATTTTTGAGGCAACGGGTTTCTCTCCCCATGCCTTTCTTCTAATGGGGAGTAGAGGGGTTCCTCCTCTCTTTGAGTCTCCTCTAGGGAGGGGAACATTTTGGGCTTCACTTATTTCTGTATGTTCCCTTTCCTTATCTCATCATCCCTTCATCTCCTGCTCCACCATTCTCACTTTGGGTCTTCAATCTTCCCGTGTCCCTCATTTCCTATTTCCCTCTGTCTCCTCTATCAACTACACCCTCACCTTAAGATAAGGTATATGGGGCATACACACACTTGCTCTCTGTTCCTCTCTGTGCTTGGCTCTCACAGACCCCACCGCAAGGAGACAGGATATACAAGGAGCCTCAGGCTTCTCAACAGTTCTCCACAGTGGATCCTGTAGCAGGAGGCCACTCTGCCAGCTGCCCAGGACTCTGGCTGGGGTTTGAGAGACCCCCAAGAGAGTGTGATGGAGTTAATAATGCACTGGAGTCCTGGAGCAACCAGGACAACCAGCAAGTCTGTTTCAATGAGTGCAGAACCGAGTTCTTATTGTGCTGCATAAAATAAACCACAATGTTCAGTATGAAATCTAGTGGAGTTACTATGCCTAATTTCAGCCCAAACACAGAAGGCCCAATTCTACCACACCTAGTGGGGCTACTAGTACCTTATTGTGCTGATTTCACTGAGTTAAGTGGCTTGAGAGATTACAAGACTAGCTCAAAGTCACACTTCTGGGCAATGTCAGAGCCAGGAACAGAACTCCAATGTCAATAGGACTAAGCACAAACTAAGATATTAGTGAGCATGAGTGGGTTTGGCAGGAGCAGGCACTTTTAGTGGGTCACTGAGCAAAGATGCTGAGGTTTATCTATGTTGCTGTTGATCTGGAGGGCTAATAGGTTTGTCATCACCAAAGAGACATTTACTTTAATATGGTGGAATTTTTACAGGGAGAAGAGTAAGCTTTGGGGCCTCTCAAACAGGCTCCTTTTAATCAATTAGTGTCATTCTGGGCTGCAGTGAAGTCAGTTTACATTAAAGTTCTGGAAAAGTTTTCATAAAAACTCTTTTTCTCTACATTGGCCCCAGTTTATCTACCAGATCTCCTGGATCTGTAATACTGGTGTGTTCTGTGCTCTTTTTTCATCAGAAAGTGCATAGACAGTAGAACAAATGTCAGAAGTGCCTAAGCCCCTCACTTTATTGGCAGTACTGCCAATCTGGGGGTGGGGGGGAGATCGAAGTTTGTGTACACCTGAGCAGTTTGGTGCATGGAACAGTGACTTACATTGCAGTAAGCCAAATGTTTAGGTGGCTGGACAGCTCCCTCTCGTGGCAGCTTGAACACATTCTCAGGCTCTTTCATGGGTTTGTTACTATTCATGCTGCACACTCAAACCCACCATGACTAAAATGGCAAGGAACTGTGACTTCTGCTTGTGTCTCTATCAAAGAAAGTTACTCCAACTCCACTACTGCTTATGAACGGGCTGCCCTGGGCTGCAGCTGGCATTCTTGGCTCCCAGTACTAAAATGAAGCTGGAAGCTTAAGCAGACGGAGAAGCTCTCCGAAGTGATTAGAAAGGGAGTGAAATCAAAACTACGGGCAACATCCTAGCCTTGTTGTCTTGTGCCATATGACTGCGATGGGGATGGCAGTGACTAAGTAGAGGGTCCAAGAGCCAGCTTGCCAGCACAGAGCAAATGGCTCAGGGGTTTGGAGGCAATGAACTCAGCAGAAGTCCATACTGGCGGTTCCAAGTAGGAGCAGCATAGGCCGCTCCCAGCAGGTTCTGTCAACAGGAGCCTACATGAAGGGAGCCTGGGGCTTGGCCATGCCCCACATGAACAAGCGATGCAATCCCTTCAAGCTGTGGAGCACCACAGTAAGTGTGTTTTCCAGGTCCTCTCCTTAGTACTGCAGCCTCAGGCAGTGTAGTCCAAGAGGAAGTGAACCAAACTGGGAGTCAGAAGACCTGATTCCTGTTCCTGATACTGACAAGCTGTGTGATTGTAGAGGTCTCATTTAACCTCTCTGTGCCTCGGTTTCCCCATCTGCAACAGGGAAAATGATACCCACCTTTGTAAAGAACATCGCCATCTATAGATGAAAAGCATTTGTTAAGTTCTTAGTATTATTACAGTTGTAATCCTAACCAGCTGCTGCATGGGTGCACTGGGGGAAGAAGGGACAGAAAGTGGCTTCTTGCACTCTCCGTCCCCAGTGGAGGAGAAGACAAGGTTTAGCTGCCAAAATGACCATAAGAGGACTCCCAAAGCAGTTTTCCAAGGAACAAATAAAAAGGAGCAACGAGGCTTGAAAAGATTGGAAATGGACCTCTCACACATTGATGATAGGGAGCCAAAAGGGTGATATAGTGTTTACAATTGTTTCAACAATGCAAGATGATAACATGGGAGCAGTCTGGTTCAGCATGAAAACACAACAGCATTCCCTGCCACTCAGGTTTGATTCCAGATAACACATCAAAGAGAGCGCCAGCGAGTTACTGAGATAATGAAGGTGTTGCGTGCACTTCCTGAACAAACATGCCCATTCATGTCTTCCACTAACAAAGAACACTGTTTTCGCTACTAATACTTGAGTTGTACAAGACTTCAATTCCTTCCCAAACTGGAGCACAGCATAACAGAGCAGGTCATGGTTAGGGAGACTTTGCCTTAGGAAAAAAGTGCCAGGGGATTTTTAATGTCCACAAAATGCAGATAGGACTTCGGTCCTTAAGGTTTTATAGGAAAGGTCTGCACTAAGAAAGCTGTTTAGACACTTTGCAAGGAGGAGGGGGTGGTTGACCCTGCTGATATTCATTCTAGGCATATCAGTCCTGATTCTTGGCCCAAAAGCCCCGTCCCCTCTGGCATAAATAGTCAGCTAACTGCAGTCATTTGGACAGCACCACTTCTTGTATAAAGCTGCAATGACCTGTCAGTTATTACAAACAAGATAAACTAGGGGGAGTCTTCCAGAGCTGAAGAAGTGCAGAGAAAAACTTCCAGTCCTCTGTGGTTAGCTTTCTCCCAGAACTGCAATCATAAGCTCGAGAGGCTCTGGGAGAGGTTTGTTCAACCACCTGAAAGTCACCAGACTCCTCTTAGGCTATGTCTTACACTGGCAATTGAACGACAAAACTTTTGTCAGAGGTGTTAAACTTTAACAGAGGTGTTAAAGTATTTTGCTGGCAAAAGAACCAACAAACAGCAGCTACGCTGCCCGACTTTTAACGACACGGCTGTATCAATACAGCCGTGTCACTAAAAGCTGCGTAGTGTAGACATGGCCTTAGTCAGGACAAGCTAATGGGAGATGGATGGGCCTGTGAGGTTATAAACTGTAATTGTAAATGAGAGGACAAGCTGCCGGCAGAGCTCAAAAAGTTCTGTATTCTATCCCTTGCTCCTAAGCGTTGCCATTTTTCACTTAGGTCGATATTTCCAATCCTGGGCGCCTAAAGTCAGGCTTCGAACTCTGCACCTAAACAGCAGTGGGCTGGTTTTCAGAAGTGCTGAGCAACCCCAACTCCAAAGGATAGTGAATGGGAATGATGGGCACTCTGAAAATCATCCCACCTTTATCTAGGGGCATAAATACAGATTATGGAGTCTGACTCTGGGTACGTAGATGTGAAAATCTGGCCCTAGTCTCCTCTTGCTGGGAAAGGGCATTGAGAAGACAGTAGAAAAATCAACTCTAGCAGAATCTGATACGTTCCAAGTTTCTGGAGAGCAGTTAGTCTGGCTTTAGACCAGGCCATGGCCCAGAAAAGCAATAGTTTCAGTGGTCAACAGTCTCCTCAAGTCAGTGGGCAGTTATCTTCAATACTATTGATCATAAGGAGCTGCTAACTCATTAGCTGAACATGGCTGGGAAGGATGAACAGCTTTGAAGAGATTCTCTTCGTTCCTTGAGGCGAGAGATCAGAAATGTGTGGAACACCATCAATTCCTACCAAGTTCAATGAAAACTGAAGGTGTTCAGCACCTCACAGCTAGGCCCCATCACTTTCATTCTACAGCAACTACAGACTGAATTGTTTAGTAGCATTCATGCATTTTTTTATGTTGGTGGCTAGACAAAACTCTATTGGAAAAAATCAACACAGTTAACTAATCCCTGAGATTTCCCTTTTCTTTCCAGAAAGGCAACAGAAGAAAAGGAATCCTTACTTTAACAAAGCTCATTCGGATAGTGCACATCTTGGTCAGCTCATACACCACTTCAAAGCCATGGTTGACTGACTGGGCGAGCAACTGGGCAAAGAGCTGGTTGTTGAAAATCTTGAGGCTGCAGCCGCTGGGGATCTTGCAGACAGTGGCTGGGTGGAAGCCATGCTGATAGTTACAGTTGCGGCTCTGTACAAAAATGCTGCTGTCACTCACGCATTCTGCATACACCTCGCCACCAACATAATAGAGATGGACACCTTGAAAGGACAAAACCACAAGTTATTTCTCTGTAATCCTTGACATATATTATATCAGGGCTTTATGCTTTGGCTACTTTACTTCTGTACAGTGTAGCAAGGGGGCGTGGCCTCCCTTGGAGACTGATGGGAAGGAATCCCTGTCCACACCTTGGTGCACGGAGTCAGGACATCCACGCCCACCCTGCTGGAAAGCAGAGGGGTGGGACAGGAAGTATAAAGGGTGGGCCCTGAAGCTCAGTTGGCCTAGAGCCACCAAAGGAGACAGATGCCTCCCACCTGCTGCTAGAACGAGAGCCTGAAGAGGACCTCAACTGCGCTAACTCACCAGGATCACCAGAGCTGCCAGCCAACTAGGATGCCGAGGAGCTGCTGGGACTGTTGCTGGCGACATATTCTGGGGAGACTGAGGACAACCCCAAGACCCAGGTACACAGTGAAGGGAGTATAGGAAGTAGCCCAGGGACACCTGACTATAGTCCAGTTGTGTTGTTGCCTGAATCCAGGTCAGCATGTTTCGCTGGATCACCGCGACCCATTGACGGAACCATGTTAAGGCCTGCCAATGTTATGGCCCTGGGCTGGAACCCGGTGGAGTAGGGTGGGCCTGGGGCCCCCCTACTGCCAACCCCACCCCAGCGTGGCAGCCTCCCCACTTTAGGCCAAGAAGCCTGCGTTTGTCTGCTGCTTGCCAGAGCTAGGATGTCAAGACTCTTTGGTGCGCCACCCTGCCTGAAGGTCTGAGCCCCTAGATTGGTGCTCTAACCTGTCTGCAGGCCTGAGCCCTAGATTGCTTATTGATCTTCCCTGCCTGAGAATCTGAGCTTGTTAGACCACACGTTTCTCTGCTCTGCCTGAGGCCAGAGCCCTGGACTACTTGCTGCCTGGCCCTGCTTAGAGGGCCAGGGCCTCAGAGACTGGGGCACTCAAAATTAGTGAATACATTTGGTGTTAATCTGTCTGTGCTTCGGTTCCCCATCTGTAAGGTGGAAGTGATACCCCCTCATCTCTCAGAGTGTTGGGAAAAGTAATTAATTAATTAATATTTTTAAACACTCAGATGCTGTAGCGATGAGCGGAAAACGCATGAGGAAATTAATACTGTTGTCTTTGTAGCAGGGTTTGGGTAGTGTAAATAAGGCAGGGACCACATTGAACAATGAGGATAAAACGAACTGTTGAATGGCTGCTCAGTAAGAGAGCACCATCCATTCTGTGTACTGAATGAGGCATATCAAGTGTGCATTGGGAGTGCAGGGGAGGAAATTAAGACTCCGCAGGCAACCTTAATTCTGGCATTTCCTAACTTTGTAGTATGCTTGATTTTGCAACCTTAAGAATGTTCTTTTGGTGTAGTTTTTTTGTATGGAATAGAATTGTGACATAAATCACTGAAAGGTTTGTTCTGTGCATGATAATATGTTATATTTAAAGTGTATGTATGTAGATGTTTATATGTATCAGTAGCAATATTTTATTATTCTGTATAGGAAATTTGTGACTTTACAGTAACAACCATGAGATATAGTGATTACATGGATGGAGTAATAATGGGCTGGTACCTGAATGTAGGACTGCATGTCTGTCCCTCCCCATCAGTCTCCAAGGGAGGCCATGCCCCCTTGCTCACGGGCCCCTGGCAAGACAAGGGTTACTGGACAAGAAGTAAGACTGAGTGGACTTGTAGGCTCTAAAGTTTTACATTGTTTTATTTCTGAGTGCAGTTATTTTTTGTACATAATTCTACATTTGTAAGTTCAACTTTCATGATAAATAGATTGCACTACAGTACTTGTATTAGGCAAATTGAAAAATACTATTTTTTTTACAGTGCAAATATTCGTAATAAAAGTAATAATAAAGTGAGCACTGTACACTTTGTATTATATGTTGTAACTGAAATCAATATATTTGAACATGTAGAAAATATCCAAAAATATTTAAATAAATGATATTCTATTCTTAATCGAGTGATTAATTTTTTTAATCGCGCAATTAGTCATGATTTATTTTTTTTTAATCGCTTGACAGCCCTACTTATATAGTTATATATAGTTATTATATAGTACTTTATGAGTTCAAACATCACACAGGAGCACTGGGGCAGAGGCAGAATCCAATTTTTCAGGGCAGCATTCAACTGCCTTCAACATGAGACCATGCTTTCCTTTACTGTAGTCCCCTGCCCCATTCACCACACACCTTCCAACTTTGGCAATAAATGAAGCAGGAGTCACACAGACAACAGTTGCCTTCACTACACAGCCCTGATTCATGTCCAGAGCAGGTCCAACCTGTGCATTGAATGAGATGGGTTCTGTGGAAAACACACTATATGATCACGTAATTAAAGACTGTATCATAACGCACATGCATAAGGAAGCCAAATTAATGTTGCACAGGCACTAGCTAGAGTTAATCTCTAGCTCAGTGTGGCTGCTCTCACTCAAGCTAAGCTATCTCAAGTGTAGTAACTGTGGAGCTACCTGTTGCAATGAAGACAAGCCTCTGTGCCTCTTTTTTTTGTCCATCTGTAAAGTGGGAACAACAGGGGTGCTGTGCGGATAAATATATGTAATAGTGAACTGCTCAGACACTACAGTGACAGGGCAATAGAAGTATGTGATATAGGCAGACAGAGCGAGAACACTGCCACTGACCAGCCTCGGGGCAGGAAGAGAAAACTAGGAATAGAAATATTCACTGTGGCTTAAATTTTCAGCAGATGCTAGTAATTTTGGGTGCCCAACTTGAGACAACTTAAAGGACCTGATTTTCAGAAAATGCAGAGTACCCACCCTCTGAAAATCAAATCCCTTTAAAGGTATCTCAAACTGAGCATCCAACATGAAAGACAACCAAACTCATAAGTCACTTCTGAACATTTAGGTGACAGTATTTTATTTTTGTGGATTTAAAAAAAAAAAAAACCATGAATATAATGAAACTAAAATGCCAGTAAGTATTTCCATTTCTCCAGTATGCATTCACTGGAGACAAGCACTTTCAATGACAGCCAGTCAGCTGCACTCACTTCCAGAATCCCCAAATCAGGAGTTCCCATGCTTTTATGGGATTTTGTTCATCTCTTCAGATCCCTGAGATCTGGCACCCTAGAATCCTCCAGATCTTTTCGGTACTACAAAGTAAACAGATCAGAAGCCTCATGTCTGTCTTTGAAGTTTGACTGCTGAAATTGGACCAATTTCTAGCAGGTAATTGCACTGCGCTCTGGATTATTACTTGCTTTGATGTGGTATTTCCAGGAAACTGTTTCATGCTGGTACACTGGATAACAATTCTATTACATACACTTATCCTAGTGACCTAATCTTGTTTACTCACTATTTTTTCTGTTAACAGAAGAGATAGTTGTATCCATTTCAACAGCTTTCATCTGTCTATCTGACATGCTTTAGGAACTATGAATCATTGGACCTGTCTTACAGTCCTGTGCTTAGGGCATTTCCCCTTCAAGTTGGATGAATAGGAAATGCAGAGAAATTAAGAGTCTCGGCTGGATGAGGATCCTCCGTGGGCAATTAGCTTTCTTCCTTTGAGTAGATTCCTAATGTAAGGTTCTAGGATTTTTTATCAACACAGACAGATCTTCAAATCTGAACAGATGAGAACCATTAGTGTTTACCACATTTTCTTCCTGCTCTGGAGATCATTCCCTCTCTTGCCCTTTGGGCAGAAACTCATAGGAACTAGCTGCCTCAAATGAGAATCTTAACCGTGAGAGGCCTAACAATTGTTGTTTATGGATCTACAACACACTACTAGCGTATGTTCTTATACAGTCTTTGTCTTCATTTTAAGATAAACTGGAACTGGACGACTCTCTCATTTCCACTGTTCAAAAAGAAATATTAACGATTTGGGGTTTCACGAAGCATCACAACATCTTAACTGTTCCAAAGGACAATACACCTCTACCCCGATATAACACTGTCCTCGGGAGCCAAAAAATCTTACCGCATTATAGGTGAAACCGCGTTATATCGAACTTGCTTTGATCCGCCAGAGTGTGCAGCCCTGCCCCCCCACAGCACTGCTTTACCGCGTTATATCCGAATTCGTATTATATCGGGTCGCGTTATATCGGGGTAGAGGTGTACGTAGAAAGGTGGGAGGCCGAGGAATGGCCTTGCATTTGGCCTTCAGATTTGCTGTTTTTTGTACCAAGCATATCAGATTTGTTACTTGGCTTAGGCCTTTACCATATTCAATCATTCAGTCTCAAGACTGGACTAGAGACAATTAAAATATTGTTTTGAGATTGGGAACTGGGTGGGGCCACTGAGAGTTGGTTCTGTTGGACCCTCATTTAAAAAAAAAAAAAAAAAGGAAATGTAGTGTAGCTGATCATTGCTTAATGAAAGCTTCTGACCAAGACTTACTACTGCAACTAAATAAATTACAACCTGAAAAAACTTGAGAGTGTATCTTCAGCAGGGAATAGTCCGGTTCAATTTGGCTGTTTTATGTCCTCCAGCAGAAGCCATTCCAATGGAAGGGGGAAATCCATAACTGAACACTTCAGAGTTTGTTTGTTTTTTAAATACAGACTGCAATAGAGGCATTTGGGATTATACCAACAGGGGCATGTATGTTTATTGATTATTCTGGATCCCAATCAGGAAAGGAGACATTATTTAAAAGGCTAGAATTCTCCTGGAAACACTTGTAGTAGAGATGGGTTGCTTATTTTTCTGTGGCAAGGCCAAATTTGTTCACATTTCTTCCCTGTTTCTGTCGTTGGCCTGCCAATGCATCAGTGACCTATATCAAAACTTTTATAAGACTAAATGTCAACATCATTATCCATAAATTGTTTTAGATCTTCTAAGTGACATTCGGATTCTAACTACTTAATCCTCAGACAACTAATGTCAATTAGATAAGTATTATTATTTCAGCTTTACGGAGGGGAAACCAAGACACAGAGTTTCAGCAACTCATCCAAGTGACTTAGTGGCAGAGACAGAAACAGAATTCAGGAGTTCCTGGTTTCCAGTCTGATCTTCAATCATTTAATGAAAAAAGCAACAGAGGGTCCTGTGGCACCTTTAAGACTAACAGAAGACTAACTTCTGTTAGTC